TTATATTATTTTAATTGAAAAATAATAATAGTTATTTTTAAAAAATCGAAATATATTCAATTTAAGGTTGAAAATAAATAATAATTTAATGTTTTTAAACGAAATTTATATTATTTTAATTGAAAATATTCTTTCTAAATTTCTTTAGTTTTCAGCAAACATTGAATACTATCATACTTATTCATATGAAGCATAAAAAATACTTCATTCATAATCTAGAATGAAGAAGAAGAAGAGAATGCTAACGAAATAGATTAAATATTTTTTTCCAAAAGGATTCATTTAATTTTTTCTTTTAAATCTCAAATTTTCATAATAGCCACAATAGTGAAGTTCATTTTCCTAAAATTCAAACCTTAGTAATTTCATCTTATTAATGAATATTTAATAAAAAAAGTAAATCTCCTAGAGTCTCTAAATATCCTTCTCAATGTATTTATCTTGCATATAAATAGCCAATTTTACTCTTCTTTCTTTTACTTAATTTTTTTCTTGTTATTCTTTCAATTCTTAACTTTATTATTAATCAAAATAAATTTTATTTTGTTGATTGATTTCTTATCTTTTATTTAAATATTCTTATATTTTTATTCATTATATATAATAATCTTCTCTAGTAAGTTTACTCTATTCTACAAGGAAAAATATCAAAATTTTCCAAATATATTGGAATTTACAAATTTGTATATTTTCAGTAGCTATATATTATCCTATCATATATAATCTTTGAAATTGATGTTTATTCATAATTTTAGCAAATCTAAAGTCGCATACTTGTAATATTAAACTACTAAAATGAATAAGTTATCCAATTTTTTATCTTCATGAGTAATTAATTATATGAGCTATTATTTTTCTATCGTTCTCTTTGAATGCATAATTGGATAATTGGAAAGATTAATGTAAAATTACAAATAATAATTAATAAAATTGTAAGCAACAATTTTATAACATCTATTTAATGAATAATTCTTAATATTATTAATAATATTTGATTTTTTCATTATTCAATATATTTTCTTATTTAAATCTCTTTTTAACTTAAATCCCTTGGAATCAAACTCTCCATCATGACTCAATGATCCATAAAGATTATGATGATTTAATTAATTACTTTATTCCTTTATAAACTCTCCTTTTTTTTCTTACTTATTAAATTGATATTTTCCCATTTATTCACTAACAGAAATTTCAATTTTATGTATTATTATGAAAAAAAACCCCAAGAATCATTAGATCCAGAGTATATTAGAATTTCCTTTGTCTTTACAAATTATCTATTACCACAATTCATCTCATATAAATGTATTTATTTATTAGCTAAGGATTAGAATGTGTATTGATTATTATCTATAAAACATAATCTAAATCTAAAATAAACTAACTGATATTTATGAATCATAACAACAAGAAATCAATTGATTTTACTGTTCATTCAAGTATGATCATTTATGGTTTATTAGGAAGATCATCCTTTATATTTATACCAGAATTTTATAGATGAATCATTACAACCTGAAATAATAAGACCCTCATTAATATTCAGTAATAAACATAAAATACTATTTGAATGGCCATTCTATTCTATTAGCAAGCCCATTAATTATTTTATTTCTACTTCCATATCATAATTGAATTATCTTTATCTTCAGATAAAAAATGATTTGATTGTTTCATGATATTTAATATAAACACTTACTCTGAATACTCGCTTAATAGTTATATTTAATTTCCTTGTTTAAGCTCCTATATTTTAATTTGATTACTTCACCCTGTAGCCACAATCGAATTATCTTTATTATTTGATATAACACCAATTATCTTTTAATAAAATTACTTTACATAAGTTAGAATTAAAATTGGTTCGGATTATATTAAATAGAATTTTAACTTATTATTTATTGTTATTAATCATATTATCTTTTCTTCTGATTGGTTATTAAATTTCTGTAATACTTATAATATTTATTTTAAATGTATTTTATTGATTGTTACTTCCTCTAAACTTCGTTTTAGACTATAGTCTAAACTAATGGAACAATTTTCTAAATTAATTCTTTTTGTAATATTTTAAGATGAGAAGGTATTTCTTAAGTTTTAAATTAAATTTCAGAAGTAGATTTTTCCAGCAAAGCATCTTTTAATTAGGAATGGATAAATAATTTATCAATATAATCCTTTATTCCTTTGAAAGTTACTTATGATGTCAATTAATTTTTTTACTTCTATTTCCTAGTAAATATGATTCAACTACATAAATAATGAAAAGATAAAGATTTAATTAATTAGAGAAAGTATTTTCAAGTTAAATTAAAAATTACGAACCATGCCAAAAGGTATTAATTTAATTAAAATAGATTTTTTTTAATAATTTTATTTACACAAAAGATAAGTCTCGTTTTTCTTTACATCAAAATTTAATTCATGAGCTTATTTTTATTTTATAACAACTTTTCAACTGATAGTAAATTATCTCAATCAAAAAATGTTAAAAAAATATATCTCAAAAAGTACTATTATGTAAAATTTTATAAATGATTAGCGGAATGATAATAAAATTAGAAATTATTTTATAAATATTATTCTTTTTTAGACAGAAACAAAAGAGAATCCTATTGACAAAAAATTGGTTAAAATTTAATCATTTTTTTAATTTTTAGGAATCTTGTTTTAAAATAAATAATTTTTTACTAATAGAGCAAGTGTCTTAAAAATAGCCCACAATAAATAAAAAAAATGAACTATTATTTTAGGAGAATAAGAGAAGAAATAAAATACAATAATTATCTGAATATTCTGATATCATTTAACCAAATAGCACTTTGAGGTTAAGGGCTAAAGGACATACTCTACCCTTGATTCATTCATTAGCCATTCATTCCAGAGATTCTATCCTGCTCTCAGTCATGGCATTCTTTACTAGCCCAGAAGGTATCATAATAAATGTTCCCACAAGAAGTTTTGATTTTCTCTCTAGAATAACATATAGTTTTCCTAAACCACTTGGCCATAAAAAAGTAATTAATTTTTTTTAAAGAGAGTAGATTTAGATAAAGTAATTTAATTAATTTAAGTTTTTTGAAAAAGGGAAAAAAAATAGAAAACTAGAATTTCTTATATTTTTTGAATTCAAAAGATGACCATTTTATGTTTTTGATAAGGGAAAGTAGATTGATTCCTAAGTGAGGGAGTGCGGAGAAATGGATAAAATAAAATGAGGTGCTAACATATACCAAATTAAATAAGAGTGGTATGTTCAGATAATTCAAGTATTAAAAATAATTAAAATGGATTATTATCAAAAGAAAGCAAAAAGAGCATCCTAGGCTGAGTTAACGAAAGAGGATTAATTTAATCTTATTTTCTTGATCTGAGATAGTAGAACTAAGGAATGAGTTAGAAATAGAAAGATAGTTTATGAAAAAGATAAACTGAAAGGACCCAATGTGTTTACTTCATATATAAACATCTTTTAATAAGAAATAGAGTAGTTTATTTAAACTATCAATAAATGAATAAATTTAGTTTAGTCATGTTTTAGAGATTGTAGGATAAACTGAGGGAGAATAGAGTATAGTGTCTAACAAGAATAAACGATGAAGAATGATGTTGAAATTATGTAGAATGTAGGATTGTAGGTTAGTACAGTTATTTTGCAATTCTTTTTTTTCAATTAAGTTCTTAATTCTTTCTTCATAGTTTATTAATTAAATTTTTATTAATATAATCTTAGATTTAGTTATTCTAAATAGCCTTGCAAATTTTAAATATAGTTTTAGGTCATTTAATAATCCTGTCAGCAAAAACATCAAGTAGTCTAATTTCGAAATGACTATTCAACATTAAATCTTAGATCAACTTAGATTTAAGCATATTAGGAATGTTTGGAACTTTTTGTTGCTAATACTTACAGTGATTGATAAACAAGAAACTGTAAATCATGTTATTAACCTCCCCTTATGAAGAAAGTAGGGTATAAAGTATTAAATTGATTCCTAATGAAAAATAAAGGTTTTTGAATTCTTAATAGAAAAACAAGTAAATTACCTCTCCAGTTAGAGTATAATTTAATTTAAGTATAAAATCATTTAATATGTTTAAACAGAAAATAAAATCTTCTAGAAGATTAGTAATGATTCTTATTTTCTAAATAAAGTATAATATAAGTAATGGAAATAATAATAATAAAATTACATTTATTTATAATT